CTCTTGTTCCATTTTGTGGGTTATACTTTATATATGTTAAAGTAAATCCCCAAATTTAATTTTGCTCAGTATTGGGATAAAAGTATGTTTGGTATTATTATATATTAAGATAGATCAATCTTATAAAGAAATGAAGGAACAAGGGTGAAGTCTATACTGAAATCATAACACAATCTCCTTAGATATAATCTACAACCTCATTGTAAGAAATGGTCCCAGCTTCCTCCCAGAGTGACCTACTCCCAGCATTTCACCGAAAATAAATTCCTTTGCCAGAAGCTTGAAAGTTCTCAGGGTCATTTAAATATAAAAACCTAAATAGGGGCAGGAAGATAGCTGAGAGGGTTAAGAGCATGCCACACACTTCTAAGGACCAGAATTTGGATCACCAAAACACAAGTACAACCTAGGCAGGTAACATGCAACTATGATTACATATCTTAGTCCACAGGAGGAAGAGACAGGGAATCCCCAGAGCAAGACACCTAACCAAAACAGAGAAAATTTTGAGTTTCATCTGGGATCAGTGAGAGAGCCTGCCTTACATTATACAAGGTGTTGAACAACTGAAGAAGACACAATATAAACTTCCAGCTGTCACAGGCACAGACATATACCATGCATTCGCATTCACGCAAGTGAATGTACACCTGGAAATAGCCATGCATACATGCATACACACCACATACACATACATTAGAGGGGAATAAAAGTAGCAATTTCTGAGAAAACAAACTGGTCTCTTTGCACAGAAGAGACCAAAAATGATATTTAAAATTTACATACTCACATCAACAAGCCAAATGTCATCTTTTCGATTATCTTTAAATCTAAAAACAAAAGGAAAAATAAATCTGATTTTATATTTATGTTCACAAACAACATCCCTACTAATAGTACTTATTACCATAACTAGTATAATTTATTTAAGAATACTGAACTGATCAATACAAGGACACAGAACAAATGCTCTGAATAAAAGTTTCATATGAAATTTTTACTCAGTAATTGCTAAATCTTATCCTATTTAGTAAACATTTTAAGAATTAAAATTGAAAACTGTCCAAAGAATTGAAAAACTCCAATGAAAGAAAGAATATTTGGGGAAAACCACAAATGTAGTCTGCTTCCTTTATCTGGTATTCCACTTGGACCAAGGGGCTTCTCTATTCTGAATAAGTATTGGTTTTTACTTCTTTATTACATTAACAAAACAGCAAATGTATTTACATTATGCTTTGTTAGGTGTTACACAAAACCTAGGGATAAGTTAAAATACACAGGAAGATGTGTACAGATAAGTGTAAAAAATTATCATACATATAACATACTTGAGCATCCAGACTTCATTATCTACAGAAAATCCTGGAACTAATCTCCATGAGTACTAAGGGATGATGATGTATTTCCTAACCTCTTCTCTTCTGTATTCCATTTTAAATCCATGTAAGAAATTAATGTTGTGGCCCAAGGTTATTCTTAGAAAAGTCTGCTTACAAGATTGGCCCCTTGTTCGTATTAAGAGCGAGGATTTTAAGAGGAGTCTCATCATTTCCTGGTAAAGAATGCAGTTCTCATAAAATATTTGTGAAAAGCAACAAATCTAGAATTGCTGTACTGGGACCAAAGGTCTGAGATTCATATTCCAGGCTATAATAAACTAGTAAAATGCCATCAGCTAGTTAGGCTTGTCCTTTAACTGTGTATCTTAACACTCACCTAGTCCTGTGGATGTGTGTGACACAGCATAGGATTAAATGTATTCCCCTGAATGAGCCCACTATATATAGGCTAATTCAAAACTCCAGGGCCACCATCAAATGCTACACTCTTAGACAACCTCAATAGGAAGCAAAATGGCACACATGAGCTTGACAGAGTGGGTCAAGTCAACACAAAGCATGGGGATGATTAAACTCAGTGACACATCACTGGCAGTCAGGTCCAGAGGAATATTAAGACAACACAAGCGGTCCAACATGTTCCAATGGTGAGGACGGCATGACTTTGAGCTTCAGCAATCTCCCTGTGAGATATCTTCACCGGGATATGACAAATGGAACTTTTTTTTTCATACTGTTTTGGTGCTTTTTCACAATTGAATTCCCTGCTCAGTCTGGAATCATGTCTGAATTTTGTGGGTCTGAGTGGCAACATCTGCTGGCACTACTACAAGATACACTTTGGTTTTCTCATTTAGCCAACAAGTAAGGTACTCTATCATTAATATTCCCCAAAGGAAGAGCCTTTCAGGTGAACATCCACATAAGGAGCAAAGTGATTACTAGAAATGAAACTCTCCTTACACAGAGTTACTATTATTAGAGCAGTGTGAAAAGGTGGCTGATAGTGACATATCCCATAAGACACCATTGAGTTAAATAAAGCTACTTTCTTGTTATCAAAGAGCTTTCCTCAAAAATCAGTTTCTATAAACAATCTTCAAACAAGGCCCATTACTATGACTATAACCCATGTAATATTCATACTTCTGGCTAATTCATCAGAGTAACTGTATTCAAATGATCATATTACTCACTACAGCAATTCAATCACACAGTCAGGTGGCAAGGTGGTTGATGGGGACAAGGAACAAAATTGAAATTAACTGTCTGTAGAAATTGTTCAGTGAGTAAGAGAGTTTGTTGTGCAAGAAAGAGGACCTGGGTTTAGAATATAGCACCCACAACAAAGCTAACACCATGTTTGCAATCTCAGTTTACAGGGGTAGAAACAGGAAGAGTTCTGGGGCTTGCAAGATACTGGTGAGCACCAGGTTCATTGAAAGATCCTGTCTCAAGGGAGTAAGATGTAAAGCAGTAAAGCAGAACTTCCAGAGTGATGGTCTGTCCTCTGTACATGCATGCAAAGATTGTGCGCACACATGCTACAAACTACAAACAAATACCTACATACATGCCACACACAAAAAGAAAACTGGAAGTAACAAGTCCTGATTCATCCACTGTTAACAGTGAAAGATATGAAAAAAAAAAGGATGGTAACTCCTTGGATGGGCGTTGTTTGTTTCTGTTATGAAAACAGTACCATACAAACATCAGGCAGATGTCATACACACAGACAGGGAAATCCATCTCACTGATAAGGAGCACAGAAGAAAAGACTTCTGCCTCTCTGTAAGTGGGAAAGTAACTAAGTTAAAGACCTCAATAAGAACATTTTAGTAGTAAAGTATATGAAAAAGGTGAAGCCACCAATGATCCAACAAGTAGGCTGGGAGTGCTGGTATATTTATGAGCTTGGTTGGCATGGGAGGTCTGAGTCCTTGACTACAAGTCCCTCCAGAGACTGTACACCAAATCTGGTGTGGGAAAGGCACCCATGTGGCCTGCCAGGGAAAAGATTGTTATCACGTGCAGTCCAGGCAGAAAGACTGACCTCGAATTTCGCAATAAAGTTAAGACTTCTCACCTATTGTGAGCAAGGTCTTGTGAATAAACCTGTTATACTACAGATTAAACACTGAATTCCAGTACTTAGTGTATATGATTAAACAAAAAGAAAGGAAACAATATAGAAACATCTGCTGGTTTTTCACCTTACAACTATTAGCAAAACTATCTGGTGCACTCCTCCATTTAGCATGCAAATGGCACTTAAGGCAACTGAAACAAATTTGGCAATATGCTAATGCTGGTCACCACTGCACCTATTATTGAAAAGTTAGATTCCTATGTAGATATTTGGATGGCATCTGAGTTAAATGATGTTACACAGTATTTAAGACATGTACGTATACTCACGATTCATTTAGATCTTCTACAAATCCTTTACAGACAGCCAGGTCAAATAAAATAACTGGAAAGGACAAAAGGACAAAATGTAGAAGATAAATGATTTATCACTTTGTTTTTACCTTAAGTCTAAATTGCCTATAAAATGTTGGAATTTTTTTTTATTATTTACCAAAACGCTCAACAATGATCCATTACATGGTGTTAAGTGACACAAAAGCAAAGTAGTTCACCCACTCAGTAAAATTTACAATGCATGTAATCATACTGCAAAGGGCAAGCACTATGTAGGTGAGTACACAATACTTGTTACTTGTATTGTTCTACATATTTCCACTCCCATTTTATTTTTCCTTTTCACTAACCTAATTTTCTGGCCTAGAGATAAAAATTTTCTTTTTCCTCTAGTAACATTTATCCCCTCGGTACAAAGTCCAAATGGATTTCCCCAAAATAGGTAGAAGACGACAAAACTGGGCTTCAGCTCTAATACTTATTACAGGGCAGTGCCCGGCTCACAGAGGGTTCTAAATTGGTGGCCGAGTCAGGAGTGAACCACAGAGAACCCAAATACACCACGCTGACAGCTTAAAAGACACTGGGTCTTTCTTCACAACATAGTCTTGGCTATCTGACCAGGATTTGCCCTTGGGCGTCATTCCTTTCTTAGTTAGTGAAAGAAAAGCCTTCCAATGTAACAAGACTCAGAACCTACACCAAGCTGGGGTTCAACATCCTTGTCAGTCTATCAGTGGAGTCAAGGAAACTTCCTGATGGCAGAGGGTAGCAGTACCCTCTTGGCATATGACTGCAGAGTTCCGCTGAGGAAGCCCGGCCCACCGAGGATGACTGGGACCCTGCGGCGCGGCCCCAATCCAGCTCGGCTCCATCCCCAGCACAACCTCCCACCGCTCCCCACCGCTCCGCTTGCTCCTCACCGGCAGCGCAGAGCGGGAGGGTCGCCCAGCTCCTCCGTCCCGCAGCCCTGGCCATGGGGCGTGGCATGGATCCCGCCAAGAGCGAGCAGAGATACAGAAACGCCGGCGCCAGGCACCTGCCTGCCGGAAAGGGAAGCGAAGACGACCCGGCACGCCGAAGAGCTCCAAGCCTGGCCGGGGCGGGGCAGGGTGGGGTAGCCTGCCTCAGGCCCCGGGTAGCCTAGCGGTTGTAACTTCTGAGCATGCGCGGGATGAGACGCATGCGCCCGAGCAGTACGCATGCGCATTCGGGTTCCCACGGAGCCTTCGCGCCCTCAGAGCTCAGAAGAGGATGCGAATTCGTGTGGGGTACTTCCTGTGACGGCGCGAGTGTGCCATGGGACTCTTCCCGGAATGCACGTATGGCTTTGTCGGGTGAATTTAGTGCTGGAAGTGAGGTAGGGTCCGACATGCACCCTTGAGTTTTGTCACACTTTTTAAACTTGTCACTTAAGTCCAGGGAAAACACTTGTATACTGTGATAGTACATAAGTAAGTGGGAAGTCATGCTTTAAAATAAAAGACTGGATTGCTGAGCTCTGACACCCTCTGTGTTAAAATTTAGTTAGAATATTATAAATTGGTTCATTACTATTCCACTATGGATGGGAGAGGTATCAACAGTTTATGGTTGCTCGGATGGGATGTGTGACATTTTCTTAAGTGGTAGGTTGCCATGCTCAGGCAAGCTGCGACAAGACAATGAAACTCAGTATATCATTACCCCACCCCACCCCCATGAAAGGACACGCAGGTCTTCAAGAAAAGTTTCAATACCACAGGGGGACAATAGAGTCATGAGAAGAATCAAGTTCATCATAAACACGTTTGAAAATGTGAAAGAATAAAAATAAGAAAATTGCTTCTTCTGAAACTTAAAAAAAAAAGTTAATTATATTATCTTGATTATATTTTTACTGTTTTCTGGTTATTTGTGGACCGAAATCCTTACTATAAAATGTTTGTGTTGTAGCCTGCAACCTTTCCTACAACACAATGATTTATAAAAACAATACACATTTTATAAGTCGGTCTCTGTGGCAGTCACTGAGTTAGATGAGATGCCTTAAATAGGAATGAGGTACCAGAGGATTTGGGTTAAACCAGTTCTTAGAATTTGTGTTATGAAAACAGCATGCAAAGGCAGAGGAGTAGAAGTGGGAGAAGAGGATAAGAAACACATACTTAGAAGAAAATCATGTAAGAAATGTTTGTAGTAGGACTGATTGTAAATGTCTAAAAGTAGAATATATATGTTGTGTTGTTTTTCTATAGTAAAATACTACATATAACAATAAGAAATGATTGAGACAGGCAGGGTAAGCCCATGTTTGTAATCCCAGTGCCCAAGAGCCTGAGCAAGGAAGACTGCCATGAATTCAAGGTTAGTGTGGGCTACACTGTAGGACCCTGTTCCAAAAGCTAAGAAACATACATACAAAACAAAAACAATGAGTTAACTTTTATGAACTTATTGGATGTATACCATAAATGTTGAGCAAGAGAAGTCAAATTAAAAAAAAATGGTACTTGCTCTTTTACTCTCACAATCTCAAAAATAACCAAGAGCTTAACTTAATGCTTTCTGCACTGTCATGAGGACCAGAGTTGAGATACCAACATCCACCATGTAACAAGCTCTGTATTCCCTGAATGCCTATAACCAGTCCCTACCCCAACATCTTTAAATAGGTTAACCAAGAGTATACAGGTAAATATTTTATTGATCTGGTTTACTTATAAAGATTTCACCTTGTGAAAATGAATTTAAATTTCAGTGTTAGGTTTTAAAATATTTGAAACTAAATATTAAACAAAAACTGTGTTTATTTTTAGTGGAAAGATAAAATATGGAACATTGTTTCTCAAATTTTATAAACATGAGTTACCTTTGTTCAGTTTATATGTGAAATGCCCTTCACAGGCTCATGCATTTGAGCAGTTATTCCTTACCTGGTAGTGCTCTTTAGGGAAGTTCTAAAACTTGGACATGGGGCCTAGCTGGCTGAAAGAGAGCCTTAGGATAAGGACTTCCATGTTTCCATCCACCTAAGCTCTGTGCTCTCTCACTGCTAGTGTAATCAGTTGCCCTATACCTGCCTCTGCCTCAGCACCCTCCCCAGTCATATTATATATACCCTTTCTAACCATTAAAAAAAATTCAGTTGCTTCTTTCAAGTATTTTTCCCAGCTATGAAAAAGGTAACTAATACAACTATATATGTAGCATAAATTAATAGGATGAACAACTTTATAAGTTGATATTAAAAATAAAGAAAAAAACATTAAAAAATGAAATTGATTTTAGAATTAGCCTTTAGAAAAATTGAAAAATTGATTTAGATTTGAAATCATTCTATAAAGAAAGCAGTAGATTCAGTTTCTAAACTGTGCTGATCCAGTCTCCATTTTTATTTAAAAATCAGTTATTATTGATAATTTTCTAGCAAAACCAGTAGGAAAAGATTTATCGGGGGTGGTTCACAAGATAAACAAGTCCCATGATCTGAAGGTGTAAACCAGTGGTGTAATTCTGAAGCCTGAGAACTCAGGTCAGACAGCAGCAACAGTCTAGCACGTTGTGGATTGCATTCCCATCACCTTTTTGTTCTATCAAAGGTGAATGTGAGTGATGCCCATCCACACTGAAGAGAACTGCCTACTTTCCTAAGTTTCTTACAGTTGATAAATCTTTTCAGAAACATTTTCATAGACACAGAGTAACATTTTAACACCTGTCTGAAAATGCTTTAATGCAGTAATTTAGCACATGAAAGTAGCTATCAAATTGTTTCAAATTTCCCAAGAATAGGCGCAATAGAGAACATTCACCAATTCATACAAGGCCAGTAGAAAGTTAATACAAAACCCAGAAGAGGCAAATATGAGAAAGAAAATTATACAGATAATTCACTTAAGAGCAAAATAGAAAAGATGTTCTTAAGGAAAGACCATAGGCTCATATATTTGAATGTTTGGGCCCCAGTTAGTGGAATTATTTGGGAAGGATTAGGAGGTATGGCATGTTGGAGGAGGTGTGTCACTAGGGGTAGGTTTGAGGTTTCAAAAGCCCACACTGTTCCCAGTTAGACGTCTTTCTGCATCATGCTTGTGGTTCAGATGTAAGCTCCCAGCTACTGCTATAGCATCATGTCTGCCTGCTTGCTGCCATGGTCGCCACTGTTACAGTCATGGACTCACCCTCTGAAACTGTAAGTCCCCACTAAACATTTTCTTCTATAAATTGTTTTGGTCATGGTGTCTCTTCATAGTGGTATAAAGGTAACTAAAACACACAGAGACCTATAACTGATCAAGGTGCAGAGAATGAGAGACTATGCAATCCTCATCTCTAAATGGGAGATTTATATCCCACTTCTTCTTCCAGTCCTCAGGTGTCATTACAGAAGTTAGGGAGGAAATACTGTAAGATCAAAAGGTTGAAGATAAACACAAGGAAACAATGTTTCCCAAATAAGACAGGACAGTTTTACTGTGAAGTCACAGATGTTGTAACAGCATGCACAAGACCTCTACAAACTTATTCCTCAGAAAATTCCAACATTATAGAGGAGAGGTAAGCATGATGTCCCACCCTGAGCTGAGGAAGTATTGGGAACTGATAGGTGTTTGTAGAAAGAGAGTGAGTTTTCTTTAAGGTTGTGACTCCTTGGAGGCCAATCATGCTCTAGTGGATGGCCATGCACCCTAGAGTATACGTGCAACACAAATTGGACTTGATGGGTTTAAAGAAATGATACCAAGCTATGAAAGCAGGGAGGTGGTGTGGACCTTGGAGAAGTTTAAAGGATTAGGCTGTGTCCTGTGCTACTTGGGTTCTGTAACCCTGGCCAGGGTCAGCAAAGGAACGAAAAAGACAGAAACACAAACACACATGCAATGAAGCTGGCATTAGGTGAGGGTTCTCTAACCTCTATGGCCAGAACCTGGAACCTCAGCTTGTTCATTAAGTACAGCACAAGGGGAGGGGTTAGGTAGTCTTGATAGGACATTTCTGTATACTGGCAGTCTCAGGTTATAAACATCCAGAGGAAGCTTCAGTTGCTGGTCTTTGCACACACTGATCAGTCATTCTTAACCACTCCTGAGGGAAGTTTTGCCATCCCTCTTGAGCCTGGCACATATGAGTAACAGCTTTGAAAATTTATGATGGGCCTATTGGTCTTGGAGCCCTCAACGGGCTGGACTCATGTCAAATCACACGTTTCCTCAGGACTTCACTCACTCCGGGCTTCCTTAGCTCCCTAAAGGAAGGGCTGAATATGATCAAAATACATTGTATGGAATTCTCAAGGAGTTAATATAAAGAGAAAAGATAATGCTAATAAACTAAATAACAGTGAAATGCTGGTGTAGTGGTAGTTGCCAGGCTATATAGTTTGGAATAGTATATATTCTGAAGACAGCTACAGATAAGAAACTTTTTACTTCAAGAATTATGTCAGGTTTATGAAAAATACAGTTGTTGTTTTCAGCCCTGACATAAGTTAAATTCAGTTCAGACTCTCCTTCAGTTGAGCCTAATTTAGCAGTGTGAAAATTGAAAGCAAGTTAATTTAAGTTGCTGCTTGCAGAATTAGCAAGAGTCAAAGTAAGTTCATGCTCTCTTTGGTTGAGCCTTGAAGTCTCCAACTCTCAAATGGAACCCCAACCAAAGAGACCTGGACATCTTTTGAAGAGGCAGCTAACACTATCAGTTACACCGCAATGTAGACCATCCACAAATGAGAAGTTGCCAATAAAAGACATGAAAGAATTATTCTATTGAAGGCATTTTGCAAAAATGCTATAGACATTGTGTTCATGAACCTCTGCTAAAATAACTCCTGAGAAATTTACATAAATAATTTATATCTAAGTTGAGCCCTAATAAGTTAGTAAATGTGTAACTGTACCACCCTGTGTCCTTCATTGGCTGCTATCTTTGTGGTTTGTCCAATGAGAAGTATAATATACAAGGATGACTGACCCATGCTGCTTTCCTTGTTATTCAAATTGTCTATTGAAGAATCAAAAAATTCCTCCCATGCAAAATGTACTGGACTGACATGACGGTGAAATAAATCTCTGTGGCATGCCCCTTGGGGCAATGATGGATTTTGGATAAAATAACCCACCAATTCTAACCCCACACATAATTTTGTTCTTTTAATTAGAAGAGGGCACAGGAAATAGTTTTGAATTTTATTCCAGATTCCATATCAGATTTCAAGATAATGAAAAAGTTATAGTTACAGATGAAAGAGGAAGATCAAAAAGAAAAGAGGAAGAGGTGGGAAGAATTGAAGTGCAAGAATTTAGGATGGAATGTTGTAGAAATTTTTACTTCAAGTAGCACACAAAAGAAGGAATTGGCAGATTGCCCACCAAAACCTTGAGGCAATCTTATATGAAGTCAGTGAAATATTATAGCATACCTTCAACTTTCCAGCATGTAAAAAATACCTAAACAGAGATCTTAACTTGCCCAATATTAGTAGAGTTTCAGAAAGAGAAAGTTTATAATGAACCTCCAATGTGGAATTCTTAAATGATTTTACTTAGTACTTAAATGATTTTATTTAGTACTAAGGCTAAAAGTATTATTTGTTTTCTGTTGGTGAAATTTAAACAGCACACATTTGTGATTTCCAAGTTCTACAGATTAGAAAGCCAAAGAAACTAGCAAGGCCTGTGGGTTCACAGAAACAAAATCAGGATGTAAGAAACACAGCTTCTTTCAGGAGAGTCCACAAAATAATGTGCTTCCAGACTTCTCCAAGTTGCCAGTGAAGTTTTCTTCCCTGAGGGTATAGGACTGAGGGCCTTGCTTCTTTAATGGCTGTTAGAGGGTACTAGTTCTCAGGTTCTAGAGACACATTCACCAACTTCCTCCTGCCTTCCTGAGCCAGCAACAGCAGTTCAAGTTCTACTTACTCCTCTCTGCCTTTTCCCTTTAGCAGCAGTGTTCTGATGCTTCTCCCTGCCTCTTCTGTTTCTAAGGGCTTATATGGTTACATGAACTATCTGAATAGAATTCAGATCTAAACTATAAATGCAGTCAGACTAAGATGTAGCCGGAAGTTTTCTCTGGTTCCTCCTGGCCCTGAGGTCTCATGTTTCTCTGGTCCCACCCCACAGTCCTATATCCATTTATAAAATAATCACTCAGAGGCTTAATATTATTTAATATGTCAGGCCTCTTACTAGCTAGCTCTTATATCTTAAATTAACCCATTTCCATTAACCTATGTTTTGCCACGTGTTCCCTGGCTTTACAAGTCTACTGGCATGTTGCTCTTTGGGCAGCAGGCTGGTGTCTCTCCAGACTCTGTCTTTCTCTTTCCTGTCTCTCTCCTTGGATTTCCCACCTGCCTCTAAGTTGCCTTGCCATAGGCCAAAGCAGCTTATTTATTAACCAGTGGGAACAGCATATACTCACAGTGTACAGAAAGACATCCCCTAGCACTAAGTTTTTTTTATATATTTAATACTGAATTCTAAGTAGGCTCTTGAGTGCATGTTTCAGAAAAGATTCCAGGCTGTCATTACAATAAGCTAGATTTCTATACATTTAGAAAATATGAAAATTTTAAAATATTATCACTATTTTCTTTTTAGTAATTTTTAAATACTTATTTCTAGGTCACTCTGGACTTGAAGATGCTAATCAAAATTTGAGAGGGATTCCAGGGAAATAACTTAGATTCTAATCCATAGTCCTGAAGAAACACTTTAAGCCTTATTTCTTGTAATTTTTTTCATAGTCTTCGTTGTCTCTATCCATATAAGTTCACAAGTTTATGCAAATCAAGTAGCTGGCTAGCACATTACTGATCAACAGTGCTAAAATTCTGTGATCTTTTCTTCTAAATGTTAAGAACTTATAAACATACAATAGGTCATTCATATTTTTGCAAGTTTTAAGTTCATACTAGTTTAAAATGATAGCTGATTGTAATTGTTTTATACATTTCATCTGGATAGAAAGCACAGTGATGGGGTAATTCTGTTGAGCCACACAATATATACCATCTAAGTGATACATATAATGCTGAGTGACTGTTCTTTATTGGTGGAATAAATGTATGGACATATCACAAGGACTGAGTAATAAGATTTCCTAGGAAATGTTCGGATCTCCCTAGCTTCTTCAATATATATCTTTTTTTATTCACCGCATGGACTCAAAACCACAGGAAACTCAATATATTTGTGTTATCCACAGACACCATTGCATGTGTGATGTCCATATTATCACAGTCCAAGCCCTATAATTTGTTTTCCATGTTCTCTCTTACTTTAGTTCTATTAACTCTTTAAAGAAAACCTTAGCTTCTTATATAAGAACTAACACATTTTCTTAGATTATTTTTTCATTGATCTAGACTTACCTATCTTTCCAAAAAATCTTGAGCTCCTTTTCTTGGAAAATTGATTTTAGGAGCTATGCAAGTGAGTTCCCTTTATAAATTAGGTTGGGCCATTTAAAATGTCATTGAATCTAGATTATTGCAGTGGACATGGAGATGAACAATTATATTATTTACATTAGTAACCATTCATTCCTGTAGTGGGTGTATAGTCTGCTACAGAATATTGCTAATTCAGGTATGTGCTAATTATTCAATGGATTTGGAGGGATGCTTTTCAAATGCTCTTCAAAATTTGAAATCTCAGTACATTCAATAAAAGCACAGACTATTAAAATCAGTACAGCTCAAAACTTTCCAAGAAAACTTTTATACTATAAAACTGTGATTATATCTAATATTAAAGAAAAGTAAACATTCAGATGCCTTAGAATCAACTAAATACTTCTCAAAAAATAAAAGTAACTTTCAGTTTCTCAGTCACCTAGTTTTACTATTTTAAGATATTTTTGAGAAATATTTTCCTTTAAATAGTCATTAAGGTTTTCTACTTTCACTTTCCTAGGCACAATGAAATATTTCATTTCTCCTGATTCCCCTATGTATGGGTCTTTGGGACGAACTTTCTGTCAATAGTTGTAAACAAGACACAACAATCAGTTGTAGGGTAGGATAATCAAGAGTCAATGTGTGTTTCCTATAAATGCTCCTCTGTTTTCAAGGAGAAACTTGAGAGTTAAGTTGCAAATGGTGAAGGTATAAGAAGGAGTTACCCTCTATGTCCTTCCTGCACCAACTGAAGGAACAATCCACAAAAAGTCCACCTGAGCTATTTAGTAATGAGTTATTCCTTTACACTTTGGCATTGTTTTCAACATGGCTTTAGGTAAACAATGAGGTGTGGAACTTCTCTCCATGGAGATTTGACATATATTCAGAGGCCAGGGCTAGGCCTTCACCATTCTAAGAACCTATATGTTCCAGTTTCCAGTTTCTAAGGTCTCCCAAGGCTGTGAAAGGCAGCCCTCTGAAGAGGTTTGCATTGAGCCCAGTGATAAACATAGAGCAGACCTTGGGTTTGTAGGGTCTACTCAGTGATGCTCCTCCATCTCAACCCATGCTCTATCTGAGGCTACACTTCAGACAGCACTGAAGATGGTTACTTGGGCCCAGGCCTAGACTTTCTCCTAGCAACAATAGGTGATGAGGGGGGGATCAGTGAAACCTCACTGAGGTCTGCAAAGTACACAGTCTAAGGCCTCAATTATCCCCTAACTCCTCCCCTAGATTCAGGGAGGCCACAAACAGTCACCCAAGGGGACATTTGCCTGAGTTTTAGCTGGCTTCTCCTCTTCTATATTGTCATGTCACTTCCCAGCGGGACATATGAGTAGTTAACATATATAAACCCCACCATTTGTAATGCTGAGGAGATTAAGAACAGAACACAATTAAGGTTACTAAACAGATGTTTTCTGAATCCTGTCTCAAGCAGACAGAGCTTTGTTTATCCTGCTCCCTCTACCCAAACCAGAGAATCCTAGAACCTGGACACAGCCAGCTTGGATGCTATGGTTTATGTTGGACAGGAGATGTAGGCCCTGAGACCAAGGCATGAGACCTGAGAAACTTTTTCTATTTGATGCCATCTTAGTTATTTGAATGTGAACATCCATAAAATGGGATAACTAATTTCAGTGAAATATACTGATTCCTAAAAGATATCTTGATCTCTATCTGTGTGCCAAACAGCACCAACAGGATATTGTGAGTATCCTGTGTTTGGGATATTTAGTACTTCTGTGGAGGATCCCACAAATGGCCCAAGAAATAGTATCTATATCTTGAAATCTTATTCTTCTTCAAGGGTGTTTTGCATTTCTCAAAGGCTTTTTACCAAGTGACATTCAAGTTATTTGTGTTATAACCCTGAGTGACCACAGATAATATGGCATCATCTCCATCTAAATTTTTCTGTTAAATTTCAGGGTATCGTGTATGGTGGTTTGAATAGGTATGGCCTCAATTGAATGCTTGGTCCATAGGAGTGGTACTATTAGGAGGAATGGCCTTGTTGAAGTAAGTATGACCTTGTTGGAGGAAGTGTGTCACTGTGGGGTCTTATATGCTCAATTTACACGCAGTGTTGTACACAGTCTCCTTCTGCTGCCTGTGGATCAAGATGTAGAACTCTCAGCTCCTTCTCTAGCATCATGTTTTCCTGCATGCTGCCATGTTCCCTGCCATGATAATAATGGACTAAACCTCTGAACTGTAAGCCAGCCCCAATTAATTGTTTTCCTTTGTAAGACTTGCCTTGGTGTTGTTCAAATCTTAGATGATCTTTTAATTAAAAAAAAAAAAAAACCCAGAGCCAGATATTTGGGTGAAAGCTGAATGATCAGAGAAGAAGAGCAAGCCAGCCACAAGTTCTTATCTGTAGGAAATCCTCAGTCCTTAGAGCATGAGTTCCTGTTTTCTCACACTTTATATGCCTTTCTGTGTCCTGCCATATTACTTTCTGGGATTAAAGGCATATGTCACCACTGCCTGGCTCTGTTTCTCTCATGTAGCCCTTGAACTCAAAGAGATTCAGACAGAGGTCTGCCTCCCCAGTGATAGGATTAAAGGTGTGTGCCACCACTGCCTGACCTCTGTGTCTAATTTAGTGTCTGGCTCTGTCTTCTGATCCCCAGGTAAGCTTTATTGGGGTGCATAATATATCACCACACTTTGGGTATGGTGTGTCTTCACAGCAATAGAAACCCTAACTAAGACATCATGGTTCCCACAACTATAGATATAAATCTGTATTTTGAGTCATCTTTGCAATGTCAATTACAAGGTTATAGATCAGGCCTTGCCAGTTGAATAACACATGATGGCATGGGGCTGTACTTTTAATTATTTGATCATAACCCTCTTACAGATTGAATAAATAATGTAGGAACAAAAATAAGACATGAATTTATAAAAATAACTACAGAGGAAAGATGTAAGAACTGAGGGAAAGGTGTAGAGGGCCAGAGAGAATCACAGGCTCAAATCACCCTGTTTATGATCTATGGTTGATATATTGTGTACCCCAATAAACTTACCTGGGGGTCAGAGACAGAACAGCCACTATATTAAACATAGGTTTAGGCAGTGGTAGCACACGCCTTTAATCCTAGCATTCCAGAGGCAGAGATCTGTCTGGATCTTTGTGAGTTCAAAGCCACACTGGAAACAGCCAGGCAGGCTGACACACGCCTTTAATCCCAGGAAGTGATGACAGGAAGCAGAAAGGTATGTAACGCCTGAGGACCAGGAACTAGAGTCTTTGTTAAGCTTTTAGGCTTTTAGCAGCAGTTCAGCTGAGATCCATTTGGACAAGGACTCAGACGCTTCCAGTCTGAGGAAACAAGATCAGCTGAGGAATTGGCAAGATGAGGTTGGATGTGGCTTGTTCTGTCTCTGTTCTTTCAGGGTTAACCCCAATATCTGGCTCCTGTGTTTTTTATTAATTCATCTTACAATGATCCTTATGTGAATTCCCAAGTGTTGCTAAACTTAAGTAACTTAACATGACATCAAAGTCAGCAGGTGATCTCACACAGGGCAAGAGACAAGGAGAGATACAAACTTTGTCTTTGTACTGGAGTTTAAGAACACAGTTCTAGAATTTATAGTAAGTGTGGCTTTCTAAGAACCATAGAGAGAAAAAAGAAAAAGAAGAGGGGAAAAATATGAATTGAGGCAAGTAAGGCTGAAGCACTGGGCCACACCTTAAGCAAACAATGAGCTGTGACATGCACAACAAGTGCTCTGGCCAGAGGAAACCTGGCCCATAAGCTCCAAACCAAAAAATGATGATGTGCAACCCAGGGCCAACCAAGGAACACCATGACAGCTAGAAGCAAAAGTCCGCCAACAGCCTCACATATATACCCCAGTGTAGCTAGAGTTTTCCTGCCTTGCCCACAGTCAGGACAAATCTTTGTCACCCGCCAGTCCCACAGCCACTCAGACCCAACCAAGTAAACACAGAGACTTATATTGCTTACAAACTGTATGGCTGTGGCAGGCTTTTTGCTAACTGTTCTTATATCTTAAATTAATCCATTTCCATAAATCTATACCTTGCCACGTGGCTCGTGGCTTACCGGCATCTTCACATGCTGCTTGTCATGGCGGTGGCTGGCAGTGACTCCTTCTGCCTTCCTGTTCTTTCTTTTCTCCTCTCTGTTAGTCCCGCCTATACTTCCTGCCTAGCCACTGGCCAATCAGTGTTTTATTTATTGACCAATCAGAGCAATTTGACATACAGACCATCCCACAGCACCCCAGCCTTTTGTTTAATGAAAGAGCTTACTTGTAACCTCCTGGAGTCTGTGTCATTGCCTCCGAGTCCTCTCACCCACTGCCCCCAGGTATCAGGGTCAGCAAGACCCCAGCCATGGTGCCAGAAACATTCTGGCCCCTAATGTGGATGGACTACCTGCATCTTGCCCTTTGGGTCCTCTTTAACTTCCTCTTTTGGGTCGCCTTTTTTCTTTAGTGCTGTTTGGCTTGCTGTCCCGATTCCTCACTCGACTCGGTGTGCTAATTCACCCCCCTCATCTGTTCTCGGTGAGTTGACCATTTTGCACGTTTTATGTTTTCCTCCCCCAAGCAGTGAGTATTGGGGTCTTTTTCTCTATGTATCTTTTCATTCCTTTACCCTGTTCATTTTGTCTTTAGGGTACACTCTGTTTACGATCGATCCACGAGGCGTTGCCACATAAGGGTTGGTCACCCAGGAAATGGGATCAAGAATTGACCCTCTGACCAGTCTTTTCTCTCTTGGAGACACAGTGTGAGTATAGGGCCTAGGCCTAACTACCAGAAGTCCCTCACAAAGCATTCTCATTCGGCTCCACACACACAATCTTTTCTACGCCCCTGATTCCACGAGGATCCCCCACAACTCTGAGTCCACTGGTGTCTTTTGCCCAGGGCAACTCTCTGGGATTGACTGAAAGGCTCTTTGTTCCCTGGGAGGGTCCCAACAGCCCTGAAGGGTGTAGATGGTAGCCTTTTGTTTACCCTTCTCTCTTTTGCAAATCAGTTATGTGACTACCAGTTAAAAGCCAATAGGGCAGTGCCCGATTTCTTAAATTCACGGTCATGATTCTCCAGTCACTGCAAATCAAATGTGGTGAATTATTGGCTTCTTTAGTTTGTCTCTCCCCTGCCTATAGTTCCTTTGTTATGGGAAACTTTCCAACTGAAGTCCCTTAAAGCTCTGCTTCTGACTAGGGAAATTAGAGTTAAAACTTCCCATCTAGAAAAATTTTAGAATGAGGCTTCTGTTATCACACCCTGGATATCACCTGAAAACATTTGGGACCTATCATTATGGATGAGGGACCTTTTGTAAACTAGGAAACAGGAAGTGCAGGAAGGGAAATCACCCCACACAGCCTTTGTCCCAATTCTTTTGGGAATCATAGCATGTATAAAATTGGGCACTACAGAGGAGGTACTCCGGTCCTTTAATGACCATTGTGTGGAACAAAAATGTTCCTCACTTTCCCTCATCTCTCTACTGCCTTATGAGGAACATACCTCAGATGGGGAAGAGGACACTTCATAGACAGATCCACCTCCCCCCAAGAAAACACCCAGGAAATCTGTCCTTAAGGATGATAAACCGTGATGTACTATTTATCCCTGGGGAGTCTTACAGGATACCTCCCCACTCTCTGCTTCCCATTGCCCCTCAGGGATAACTGAGACCACCACACCTCAGCTTAAATTCTCTGGTTATCACCCAACAAATCCTTTTGCATTTCCAGTTAATGTTGGCACCAACACAGTGGTTCAGCCATGGGTTCCTACCCCTCTAGCTGATCTTTCCTTGATCCATAAAGCTGCCAATGAGTCAGGCCCCAACTCCCCGTATTTTGAGCAAGTACTGCAACAGTGGGAAATGCAATTTCAAATCTGTTATGGCTGCTATTGTTTGATGAAAGCAGTGCTTGAACCCACCACTTTTCGTAACTAGTGGGTAGCCTATAATAATCAAGCTGAAGTACAGACGTGCCTCAATATACAATATAATGTTGTTATTTCCCTAGAGATGCTGACTGGCTGGGGCCAATGTTAATCTTGTGACTCAAGCCCAAATTGGCCTGCATGCCTATTTTCAGCAGGTTTCTGAACTTGCATTTAAAGCCTTGAAATCCTATACTCCACGGGATCTGACTGCCTACTTCCATAATCTGATACAACAGCCTGGGGAATTGTTTACTGACTTCATGGCCCAAGTCAATGAGGCAGTGGAGAAACAGGTGGATCCTGACCCGACCAGGGAGATGCTCATTAAACAATGTGAGGAAGGCTTAATGCCCTTACCTGCCATGCAGTTGTGGTGGTGCATAATGAGGACATTCATAAATGGGTGATTGCTACTCATGATCTCAACCCTCAGGCAGGACCCATAGCAACCCTTACTGCCTCTGTCAACCCACTATTTGCTTCCAAAGATAATGGTTGTGGACCCACCTAACCATTCTTGTTGGGGCTGTGGTCAGTCATGTCCCCTTTGTAGAGATTGCCCTAAAACCTTACCCAAGACCAAATGCCCCAATTGCCAAAAAGAATTTCATTGGGCATGTGATTGTAGAAGCTCTCCCCAGTTGCCTTTAATCTTAAAGAGGGGCACCCCTCAGCCTGGCAAATAAGAGGGGACCCCCTATAGCCAAAGGTTTTCTGGACCCTCCCTATATTTCATCATTCTCCCATGATGACTATTTATCTGGATGGCAGACCCACCAAGGGTTTGGTAGAAACTGGGGCAGAAGCCTCTGTAATATATCTTAATGATGGCCAGGCCTTCCCACATTGGAAACTTAAAAATCGCCCAACCAGTACTGGGATAGGAGGGGATAAGCCTTCTAAAACAACCCTTCACCCGGTTCACTGGAAGGACCTTGATACAATCAGGGGCGATTCTGCCTGAAGCACTATGTACTCTTTGGGGTCACAATCTATTAGAGGAAATGGGGGCTATGCTTACCACAAATGATAAGGCCATTATGAGGATATAGAAACATATGACATGACAGGTCAATCTGTTAGAAATTCTAGCCTTCACTCCCAATTCTAAGGGCTACTGCCCCCCCCCCCCCCAGATATAAATATTCCCAGGCCCATACCATTAAATTGGACATCACAGAAGCCTGTGTGGGTAGACCAATGACCTATTATAGAACCTAAACTATCAGCATTGAGAGAGTTAATTGAAGAGCAATTGTCACTGGGCCATACTGAACATTCCTGCAGTAGGTTTAATACCCCCATTTTGTAATTAAGAAAAAGTCAGGAAAATTTTGCCTTCTGCAAGACTTAAGACCAATCAATGCACAAATGGAAAAGATGGCCCCCCCTTAGGCAGGGCTACTGCACTCAGGTGTTATTCCACCAGGATGGCATATTCTTGTAATGAATATTAAAGATTGCTTTTTCTCAATGCCACTGGCTCCAGAGGACAGAGAGCACTGTGTTCACTGTCTGGGAGCCCAATGTTCAAAAACCTGCTTCCCATTATTACTGGAAGGTTATGAAAAATAGTCCAGTCATCTGCCAGTTGTATGTTCAACAGACCTCAGCTAGGGTCCCCAGTGAGGTATTAATGATCCACTATATGGATGGCATCCTGTTGGCGCACCTGAGGAGACAGAGACTTCAGGAGTTATTGCCCCAGCTCCTTGAGGACTTAGGAGCCCTTTGCCTCAAGGTGGCCCCAGAAAAGAAACAATGGCTATCCCCATTTGTGTTCTTGGGCTACCAAATCAGCCAAGCCATCCAATCTCTCAATGCCTCTATAATAATACAAGAGTCCTACTCCCTTACAGACCTCCAGGAACTTTGTGGCACCATTAATTGGCTCAAACAATTTCTCCCAACTCCTGATGAAAACATGAGACAATTGTTTTCTCTCCTCAAAGGGCATTCCTCCCCCTCTGCAAATATATGATTGACAGGGGCCAGGGATCTCTTAAAGAGGGCTAGTGAACTTGCCTATAATGCCTCTCTGAGGAAACATGATCCAAAGGTTCCCCTCATAGCCCTAGTCCTTTGGACTAAGGGCAGCATACTGGGAACACTGTGGCAATCAGGCTCCCTAATATGGATACATCTGTCACATTCTGAGTTATCCAGTATCACCTTGAAGTTTGTTATTACCTTTGAGATAGGCATTAAAGCAAGAGCAACTGCTAGGATAATCATGGGCCATGAACCAGATAGGATTGTCCTCCCCTTCCCTGTCCAAAATACCCAACCCTTATGAGCAGACTATCTTCCCTTCCAAAAAATGATTGTAGATTAATTTCTAAGTGGTCTTATTAAATAAAAATCTTGGAGCCAAATATAGGGGTGAAAGCCTTAGAAATCAGGGAAATAGGAATAGCCACCAGCTAACCTTACCTCACCACACTGCAGCTTCCAAAGTGTGCTAGTTCCTGTCTACCCATGCCTTTAATGCCTTGCTGTTCTGCCCTCTCATTGGCTCTTAGCCCAGCTACCTCACTTCCTTGTCACTGTCTGTCTGTACAGACCTCCAGGTCTCTAGGGTTGGTACTTGGATTAAAGGCGTGTGTCACCATGCTTGGCTCTGTTCCCTAGTGTGGCCTTGAACACACAGAGAACCTGCCTGCTAAGTGATAGGATTAAGGGCATGTGCTACCACTGCCTGACTTTTGTGTTTACTTAAAGTGGCTTGCTATTTCCTCTGATCTCCAGGCAAACTTTATTTATTAACATACAAATAAAATATCACCACAAATGATGATGGGTTTTTCAGGGACCTTGGATAACCAATTTCCCCAAAATAAACATTTGTCAGCCTTGCCACTCCTTGAGTTAACTTTAAGCCCGTATGCTAACCCCTTGAATGTCTATCTTCCTCAAGTGGCTATAGCCTTTACAGATGCCTATAGAACAAACTTTGGCCAATTAATCACAATGCCGAATAGCAAAGAAATAACTCATATCCAACTTTACCCAGGCTTTGTCCAAATGGGAGAACTCCTGGCCATCCTTAAGGTACTGGAGTTGAGCTAGTCAGTACCCATAAACATTTTTCAGACAGCTGATACATGACCCAGGCATGTAAGCTGTTGTCCTTTGCTAAACTAAATGCTGTGGGATGTTCTGTATGGCAAATGTGTTGCTAATTAGTCAATAAATAAAACACTGATTGGCCATTGGCTAGGCAGGAAGTGTAGGCGGGACAAGGAGGAGAATAAAGCTGAGAAGTGGAAGGCTGAATCAGAGAGACGCTGCCAGCTGCCACGATGAGAAACAGAATGTGAAGATACCGGTAAGCCACGAGCCATGTGGCAAGGTATAGATTAATGGAAATGGATTAATTTAAGCTGTAAGAACAGTTAGCAAGAAGCCTGCCACGGCCATACAGTTTGTAACCAGTATAAGTCTCTGTGTTTACTTGGTCGGGTCTGAGTGGCTGTGGGACTGGCGGTTGACAGAGATTTGTCCTGACTGTGGGCCAGGCAGGAAAACTCCAGCAACAAATGGCGTCCAACATGGTGGCAAGAGTTTCCACCTAAAACCTGAGAAAGGATTCTAAAACGGAGCTAAAAACAGTTCCTAATTGTGTCTCTCAAATGAGCGGCAGCTGCTGGTTTGAGCTACTGGTGGGTTCCTAGCGTGCGTGCTCGACCTGCCTATGGCGGGAATGAGGCCTTTGCAAGTGGCACTTTGAGCTGCATGGTGGATTTAGCCTTTGCTGGTGCAGAGCAAAAGGGGAGGTTTCTGGGCTACACGCTGCTTGGCTAAAAGCATAGACCCCCCCCCATAGCTCCCAGAGCTGGCGGTAAACCATGGCCATGTTGGGAAGCTGAGGTGGGTGGATCCAGCAGCCACAGCTGCTGCAGTTTAAGGCAATAGATTCACAATAAGACAGATTCAGATGTAATAGTTTACAATGTGTGTAAAAGATACGTAGGCTTGAAAGAGACAAAAAAAGATGATATATAGAGTTATAGAAACAAATACATAGTTTTAAAAAATAAAGTCTTTAAAGAGACAGTAAAGGTAGTATAAAAATAAGCCACGTAAAAATGGATATTACACAGAGAATCTGCATTGTGTTGTCTTTGGGACTTTTAACTGCAGAAAAACATTTGATTGTAAAAGCTGTTGAGTTATGCCAAAATGTATATTTTAAAGGTACCTTGACTTCAAAATTTGGATATAAGGATATGTTACTTTGGAAAGGAGACTCTGCTTTTGTTTCCACAGAAAGCCAGAGGCTATGGATTTGTTCAAGATTAAGGTACATCAGGTTTGATCAGCCAAGACCCCCTGAAAGGTCTCCGATGACACCATGGCCCAGATGATCCAACATCCAGAATGGTTTGAAGGCAACTGGCTCAGACGATACACCCTCATGGACTATTCCATAATCCTAAAATTTTCTTTGTATCCCCATAAGATACAGCGCCCCCCTCCAGCAGGAAGTAGTAAGAGAAGCTACGCCCAAATTCCCAAATTATATGTAATTTTACTTTGTTAAGGTTAAAACCTTCCTTTTTGAAAAAAAAAAATTGGGGAAGTGCTGTGGGATGTTCTGTATGGCAAATGTGTTGCTAATTAGTCAATAAATAAAACACTGATTGGCCATTGGCTAGGCAGGAAGTGTAGGCGGGACAAGGAGGAGAATAAAGCTGGGAAGTGGAAGGCTGAGTCAGAGAGACGCTGCCAGCTGCCACGATGAGAAACAGAATGTGAAGATACCGGTAAGCCACGAGCCATGTGGCAAGGTATAGATTAATGGAAATGGATTAATTTAAGCTGTAAGAACAGTTAGCAAGAAGCCTGCCACGGCCATACAGTTTGTAACCAGTATAAGTCTCTGTGTTTACTTGGTCGGGTCTGAGTGGCTGTGGGACTGGCGGTTGACAGATTTGTCCTGACTGTGGGCCAGGCAGGAAAACTCCAGCAACAACTAAAAACCCTTAGAGATTCCATCTCCATGACCACGAAAGCAATAGAAGACATGCTAGAGAATAAGGGGCATCCCTGGTATATAACCCATATCTGATCTCATTCGAGGCTTCCAGGAATACTTACTTGAGGCAATGATAAGGTTGACAAGCTCATCATGACAGTACACCTGCCCCTATTGGAATAGATTAGACTATTCCATCAACAATTTCATTTGTCCCCTCATAACTTGCACAAATTGTGGCCCAAACTGTCCATAGCCCAATGCAAACATCTAACCCAGACCCGCACCACTTGTGCCTCTCTAGTTCCCTTGGGACCATTGAATAAACATGGTGTCAACCCCAGGGGCCTTGTTCCCAATTCGCTCTGGTAAATGGACATTACCCACCATTCCCGCTTTGGCAATCTTAAATACATACATGTGATAGTGGACACATGCTTCTCATTTACCTATGCCCTAGTACAATAGGGGAAAAGGTATCACAGACCATCAAGGCATTAAAAACTATGATAGTCCAGGAGTGCCTTGGGCCATAAAGACAGATAACAGTCCTGCATATACCTCCCAACAGTTCAAGGATTTCCTAAACGACTGGACTATTGACAATACCACAGGTGTTCCATATAACCCATAAGGACAAGTGATAGTAGAGAGGATAAATCATTCCTTAAAAGAAAATCTACAAAAATTATCAAAAGAAACAAAGAGGGACCCATTTTTGGCATTGGTAGAAGTTCTGTTTAAGAGCAATTTTCTATCATTTGTTGATAAATGCCTGAGTCCAGCATATAAGCATTGGGTCTCCCTCTCCAAAGAGATGCCACTCCCCCTGGTCAGATGTAGAGACCTTCTATCCAATGCCTGGCAACCTCCCACTCCTTTGTTAACAGGGGATGAAGGTATAGTTGTGTTTTCCCACAAGATCAAATGAAGCCAATATGAGTGCTGATCTGGGACATTAGACCAGCAACAGATCAGGAAAACATCCCTGCTGTGGATATTGCTCTGTATGCTGTGAATGTGTTGCTCTGATTGGTTAATAAATAAAATGCTGATTGGCCAGTAGCCAGGCAGGAAGTATAGGCGGGACAAGCAGAGAAGAGAATTCTGGGAAGAGTCAGGAGTCGCCAGCCAGACACAGAGGAAGCAAGATGTGAAGGAAGAACTGAGAAAAGGTACCAAGCCACGTGGCTAAACATAAATAAGAATTATGGGTTAATTTAAATGTAAGAGCTAGTCAGTGGTAGGCCTGAGGTAATGGCTGAGCAGTTTTAATTAATATAAGCCTCTATGTGTTTACTTGGGTCCAAGCAGCTGCAAGACCGGTGGGTGAGAGAGATTTGTCCTGACCATGGGCCAGGTGGGACACAGGAAAACTTCAGCTACACATCCTTTCATCTATGTCATTGGACTAATCCTCCTGTCATTGGAGATCATAATAGGTAATCCTCATGTTCCAATCAACCACACCTGGCTTATTGTTAATACAGAAACTGGAAACTTAGCCAACAGCACCAACTCCACCTTTTATCTTCCTGGGACTTGGTTCCCTGACCTCTATGTAGACCTATGTGACTTAATAGGAGAGACCTGGGACCCATCCGACCAGGAACTGTTCCTGGGGTATGATTGTATTTCCCATGGGGGACAGAGTAAAACTAGAAGTTGTGGATTTTATGTATGCCCGGGATACTTCCAAGACAAAAGAAATGCAGGGGCACTAGTGACTATTATTGTGCTGCCTGGGAATGTGAATCCACAGGATGGATCACCTGGAGCGCCCCCACCAAAGGGAATTTTATTACTGTACAACATGCAGGTGACATGAAAATGCCTGGCACGGGCATCTGCTACAAGGGTGAGGAAAGAATAAATTGTGGTCCCTGCTAGGACAAGGAAAGGTTTCCTAACCTTCCTTGGGCCACCCCAGGAGGTAAATGCAATTAGTTGATCATCAGGTTTACAGAGGAAGGCAAGAAGCAGGATTAGACTACTGGAAAAACATGGGGGAGCTGAGATTATACCATTCTGGGCATAATCCTGGCCTACTGTTTACCCTGAGACTCACACAGGGGAACATCAGAATGGCAGACCTAACACCATACTTGTGCAACAAAGGGAACCCACACTTCCTTCCTCCCCCAGCAAGAAAATCTACTCCCTCTCTGGGGACTGCTTCCATGTCAGCAACCACAAACACCTCTTTTCACACAAACCAGAGTGAAATAGACATTTACATAATATCACAGTCTAAAAAGTAAACAACCACCATCTCTGCCCATACACAGGTTACTGCCGAAGCTCATGACATTAACCCCCTGATAGATCTGGTAGAAAAATCATATAAGATTTTAAATGCCTCACAGCCTGATTTGACCAATGCCTGCTGGTTCTGTTATGATATGGCTCAGCCTTACTATGAAGGCATAGCCACACTGGGAAACTGCTCTACCAGCAATAATTCAGAGCAATGCTGATGCACTTCCAAGGCATCACTCACCCTGCAGCAGGTAATTGGAAAGGGGCTATGCATAGGAACAGCTGCTACTCATCATTCCCTCTGCAACAAGACCCTTCCCTTAGCTACCATGTCCAGCTACCTTGTCCCCCAGTATGATACCTGGTGGGGTTGCTCCATGGAACTGACACCCTGTGCTCATACCCAGGTTATTGCCAACAGAAAGGGATGTTGTTTGCTAGTTAGATTAGTTCTCAGGCTCCTCTATCGCTCAGATGAAGAATTCCTTACTAGATGGAGCTTAGCCCTGGGAAAGAGGATAAAAAGGGAGCCAATGACAGCACTCTCAATTAGTCTTCTATTGGGTGCCCACCTGGCTGGGCTAGGAACAGGGGAGGCCTCCTTGATATCCTAAGAGAAACACTATTCCAATCTGAGGACCACCACTGATTTAGATATTCAAAAGCTTGAGAACTCTATCTCCCACTTACAGGAATCCCTGTCATACCTCGCAGAAATGGTACTACAAAATAGGTGAGGACTAGACAAGCTGGGCTATGTGCAGCCTTAGGGGAAGAATGCTGTTTTTATATAGATCACTCAGGATTGGCCAAAGATTCCATGGAGAAGGTCAGGGAAAGACTCAATAGGAGTAAAAAAGAGAGAGAAGTGAATCAGAGCTGGTTCGCATCCTGATACAACTCATCTCCTTGGCTTACCACCCTAATCTTGACAATATTGGGACCTCTTATGATAGTGCTCCTTATTCTAACATTTGGACCTTGCCTATTCAATAAAGTGATGGCCTTTATTCAGAACAGGATAGCAGCCATCGAAGTTCAGACTATACAGGTAAAATATCAGAAAGTCCAGCATTGGGACCCAGAAGGTACATATGATATGAGGACATTATATGGTGATATTGCTTAATATTTGTCAGCTTCTATGTTTCAGAAAGGATGGTGCATGAATCAGAGCATGTATAGACAGTCATAATCTTTAATGACTGAATACTAAGGCCAACACCCATGATGCTTTCCAGAGGAACCACCCTCTAAGGGCTGGTAGCCAGAGATGGATAAGAGCCTGTTAGGCAGACCAACCTAAGACAGGCAGTCACCATATTGGGGGCCCCTGAGGTAGGGACAACAAGATTAGAGCAAAGAACTCTAATTTCTACTAACAACTATAAAATAAAATAAAAAGGATGATATGAGGCAGGTAAGGCTGAAGCATTGGGCCATGCATTAAGCAAACAATGAGCTGTGACATGCATAACAAGTCCTCTGGCCAGAGGAAACCTGACCCATAAGATCTAAACTGCAAAGTGATGATGTGCAACCCAGGGCCAACCAAGAAACACCACGGCAGCTTGAAGGAAAGCCTGCTAACAGCTCCACATATATACCCCAGCCTTTTGTTTAATAAACGAACTTGCTTGCAACCTCCCAAAGTCTGTGTCGTTGCCTTAGCATTCTCTCACCAACTGCCCCTGGGTATCAGGGCCAGTGAGACCCCAGCCACAGCACTAGGAACAATGAATCACATCTTTAGTATATCAAAATTACAATTCTTTTTTAAAAAACACCTTTGACAATTTCCTTGTGGTCATTGGAAGCTGATAAGGTGGGAGGTGTTATTGTGATATTTAGCAAAAGAAAGGAAGGGCAATTTTAGTTGCAGACGTTTGAAAATATTAAAAAGAACCCTTTAAAAAGAGGCATGGAAACACAATTTTGATGGAATAGAGTGTAAGAGTGCTTTTTCTAGTAAAACATTGAAGATGCTGGATGGTGGAAATTATCCTATTTAAAACACTGGCAACCACCAAATTTACAGTCTGTGTTCATGATAGTTTGCCTTGACCAAAATCCCTATATTCTGGAAACAAAATACATTTGAATTGGACAAACGGCACAGGTTATAAAAATAACACATATAACTTCAATTATAGTGAGTTGGCAACCCTTCCTTATAGATAAGTGTGCTGGCTGGTTTTGTGTGTGATCTTGACACAAGCTAGACTCATCAGAGAGGAAGGAACCTCAGATGAGGAAATGCCTTCAATGATATACAGCTTTAAGGCATTTTCTCAATTAGTGATCAATGAGGAAGGGCCCAGCCTATGGTGAGTGGTGCCTTCCCTGGGGTGGTGGTCTTGGGTTCTAAAAGAAAGCAAGTTGGCAAGCCAGGGGATGAAAGCAAGCTGGTAAGCAGCACCTGTATATGGCCTCTGCATGAGCTCCTGCCTCTAGGATCCCGCCCTGTTTGAGTTCCTGTCCTTGACTTCCTTCATTGATGATCAGCAATGTGAAAGTGTAAGCCAAATAAACCCTTTCTTCTCCAATTTGCTTTTTGGTCATGGTTTTTTGGGGGCAGCACTAGAAACCATAAGACAATAAGTTAACTGAAATGTGGGAAATTAAAAACACCAAAAATGGC